CTTTAATTCCTGGTTTTCCTTTTACTTAAAGATGCAACATGACTGCTCTAGTTCAAGTTATCAGGTGTACCAGGAATATGGAAAGAATGAGCCAAAAGGACAAGAAAAGAAAGTCTATACCAAAAATAGAAAAGTAAAAACTCAGAAATTCTTCCAGATTTCTGTGTGTGCCTCACTGGACAGAATTTTGACAGTGTCCCTCAGCTTAAGAAGGCTATGAAAATGGGGGAAGTGTATGTGACATTTTGCCTACAACAGTGTTAAGATTCAGCAAGTAAATTCTGAGCATGCAAAGTGGTTCAGTGCACTAAGGTGTGTATGTAACTGCAAGGGTCAGTGTGCAAATGAAAAAGACTAACTGATGTCAATTCATGGTTGCTTCACCACTGAATCCAGAATGCCTAACTGAATCTAAGCATTTTGATCTGTAAGTGTCACAGTCTGAGTGAAGGTGTAGGCTTCAGGGGAATCAACACAGATTGTGCCTTTTTTTTTAATTTAATGTCTTCATGAACTTAATGTTTCTGATATACATGACATTTACATCTAATGAATAATAAAACATAATACCTGCTTTCAAGCTGCCCTCTGTAAACTGAACTTGGTAATGGCACAAGTAGACAAAGTGTCTCACAATTGGCCACTAAGAGGTACTTAACTCAGCCTGAGTATAGGCTCTTGCAATTGGGATTTTATCCTGGGAAAGATTATTATCACCAGCCAGTGTGAAGTTTAGGTGTTAAAAAGGTAAAAATGACTGATCAAATGAAGAAAGGTCCTACTGGCATGGAAGGTAGGTACATGAAGGCACAGAGAAGCAAAGAAAGTAAAAAGCTTCTGAGGTCTGTTAACTTTTTCAATAAAGGAAAGCACAGTTTTAAGGGATAAGGACGTTTGTAATAAAGTAAGCTAGAAGAGAGATAAACAAGAGTAAAGAGATCTTTGGAAAATAGACCCTGATTAATTTTAAGCTGATGACTAGTTCTATGCATAAGGAAAATAAGCCTGGTCCCAAAACAGGCAGGTTTTTGGAAAAATAAAGCTAGAAAAAGGAAATTCAATTAATTATTTCAATTGTTTAAAATATAATGGTCTATTCCAAAATAGTATCAGCAGATTAAGAAAAAAGGATTGATTCTACAGACATTAAACTAGGCCTAAAATAAAAAACATATATACCAAATGCTCTGATGGTGAGTGTCTGTGTATGAGATGGGCAGAAAAAGGTAGAAGAGATGATGACAAGAACCTAAAAACAACTCTGATTTTTTTCACTCATCAATGTTTGAGCAATGATAGTTAAAGTGATTTTTCCGAATGTTAGTGGATGTACTACCTTATATTAGTAACACATAATAATATATATACCTGCTTATATTAACAATCATGATATAAGTCATTTGACTATTCAGGAGCCTGACAATGTGCTATTTAAAATGTTTCAGTTTTGATTAATGCAGGTCAGTTGTACTACTAATGGGGTTCAGTGTGGTGGTTCAACACTGAGCATGAACTAATCAAATCCACCTCTATTCCCTTCACACTCCTTTTTTCAGTCTCTAGTAATTTCTACTACGTATTTCGGCTGACATTTTTTCAGGGATCATATGTTCTTCTAGTCTCATCAATTTTGCTGTTAATAACAGAGCTTCATTCTCATTTTTGACTGAGAACATTCCTTTGCCTGTATGTACTAACTTTTCTTTATCAGTTCATCTATTGATAGGTACCTAGGTTGATTCTCTCAGTAACTATAATCATGGCTGCATTAAGCATGGTTATACAGGTATCTCTTTGGTCTGTTTATTTTTCTTTGCATACATACCCAGAAGTGGGATAATTGTATCATAAAGTAGTTACTAGTTGAATGTCCAACTTTTGAGCTTGCCTGGGCCATAATGAGTGGAAAGCAATTATCTTTGGCCACATAAAAATATATATAATACAATTAATATAAATGAACACTTCTACTTTTTAATATTTTCATTACAATATTTTTAAGAAGAAGGCGAGCTGCCCTTAGGCTGTGGATGAGACATACCTTGAATGACTTTTTAGGAAATGATCCCAGAAGCACAGGGAAACAAGAGCAAAAACAGACTAATGTTATAACATCTAACTAAAAGGTTCTACAAAGTGAAGAAAATAATCAGTGGTATGCTTTCAACTGTGGCTGAAAAACCTTCTTTCTTGAGCAAATCTAAAGTACCAAGGAAATAATACGCAACAGCAGATTTGATAACAAAGAACAGGATTGTTTACAACTGCTTTTATGATGAGCAACATAGCAGCCTTCAGAACTACTTTTTAATGGGATGAGAAACTTATTACATTCATCTGTATGACAATTAAAGAATATAATCTAGTACATAAAATGTCAGAAAAAACCTCAACCCATAAAGAATATGGTATAAGTTTCATAAAGCCAATGCTAACATTAGATACTTAAAACAGATTTGTAGAAATAATACAGGATTAAAAAAACAGTAAGAAATCACTAGCTGATAAATTACATATTGTCCTCTTAGAAATAGCTGCTCAAGTTACAAAATTAAAGCATACAAAGTGGACATTCAAACACTGAGACTATAAACAGTTCTGCTCAATGATCCAACAAAAACTTAGTAATATGGTTATCAACCCGTCACATTTTTTCCATCCTTTTTTGTTTTGCTTTTTTCTCTTTAAGTAAATTTTTTTTAAAAATTAAAAAACAGAATTGTAACACACATGGGAATTAAGATTAGGGTCACAGGTTCAGAGAAAACTAAAAGAAATGCTGTTAGAATTATTCTGAAATTAACATTCAATTATTGTTTTTGTATCGCTATGATAGTGCCTCAGTACTCACTAATCCAGTATCTCTTGTTCAATTCGTCATTGTCTTAAACCAGTGGTTAATAATCTGGTTTGAAAAATAGCACAAGAAATAAATTATCAAGAAATCCTAGTTTTTCAGGATTATCTCTATTAAAGATAGATTGTCTTTAATAAGATAAAAGATTAAAGAAGATCACCTCTATTGAAAGACCTCCCTTTAAAACAATACACTTCCTCTGCATTTTTGCACTGGGGAAATTCTTACACCTAGGAACAAATTAGTAAAACTGAGTGAGCATGATTACATAAAGTAGATACCACAACAGTTATGTACCAACTTCAAGGCAACCTTCAACTAGAATCATAGCCTTTCCAACATATAAATCTTTTAGTTTCACTATTATTCACCCATAACATAGAAACAATAGTCCTCAGTTCATAGACTGTGAGAAATAAATCCTTCTAAGGCAGTCAACCCCCAGTCTGAATTACAGTGTCTTAAATAGCTATTAATATAAAGAATGTACTAACAACATCTAACAAAGTAGTGACTTGCTTGCATTCTTCTTTCACAGAAGATTGAGATGCTGAAAAAGTCACCAAATATCTTGTTCAAAGTCAAATTTTAGGTAAGTAACATGAAACATAGTCTGCTACAGCAAGTTCATTACTCTGAATTTCTTTTCATCCTTTCAGCAAGGCAAGAATTACTATAAATACTGTACCTAGCTTACACCTTCACCATCAGTCATGAAGGGAACATATAGAGGAAATTTTAAAAAGAGAGCGAGCAGTCTACTACAGACAGCTTGCCACTGTAGTCCTGCAAATTATCAAATTTAGAACACAAGCCTATAAGAAATGGTTAAAACACAGTAATTTAGAGAAGAACAGAGAGAATTGCTTCTGATTATCAGATTTATAGCAAAGTGGTTTAAAATATTATGTACAGTTGTTTGCCAGGATGATTTAATTATCTCCAAAAAACTAAAATTTAAATGCATTAGAATCCAAGAGTTACAAACTATGTTCCTGGCTGCCAACTTAGACTGCAATCTTACAGCGTGGGGTTGGCAGTCATCTGAGGCATTTATATCTGATGGTAGGAGGTATTTAAGAGACTGATTTACGATTTACAGATGAATTACAAATTATAGTCCTATTTGCAATTTTCACAACTATAGGAAAGGTTCTTATTTGCAATAAAATCTGAAGACTTGGTTTTTTTTTTTTTTTTTGCTGCTTTTTTTTTTTTTTTTTTTTTTTTTTTTGCAATAGATACTTTAAAAGCAAAATATGCCTCAATTCTCTGGTTAAAATATCCATGAATTTAACAATAAGGAATTATTAGTAGCAACTCATCACTTAACTAATTCATCACCACTGATTATCTCATAAAATTTTATTTGTGTATAACCTCAGTTACTAAATGAGCTTATTAGCTTGAAATAAAGTTTAGAAATTAGATACTCCCATATTTTGTTTTCAAGTTGAAACACTGACTCACATGTGTAAAGGAAAAAGAAAATTAAATGCCTATTTTTAGACAGTTATATGCCTTATTTTGCAAGTCAATCTAGCATCAAAAGAGGGTCTATAACCATTTAACAGCAAACAAGACTGTGTCTAAATTTCGCATCAACATATAATTATACAGTCACACCAGGGGGCGCTCTTAACACTAAAATGATGGATGACATATTTTAAAACACGTGGTGGACTCAGCTGGCCAAAAGAAAGATTTTTCTATGTGGTACATAAAATAAGCGCTTATCTCTTGAAAATGTTTGCTGAAAATACAGTTTCTTTGGCATCCAACTGTTTACATAGTTAAGATTATCAAGTTAGTCCACCACATAAAACATTTTTTGCTGACAGAAAATATTTTATTTTGGAGACATGTGTCTACTTAGATTGGCATCTGTCTCTTCTGTAGCTGTACTGATTCTTAATAATAGAGTGATAAAAGACTACATACAGTTTTTAAAAATGATTTCAGGATGAATTTTTTTGACAAAATTTCCTATTAGAGTTTTAGGGTGTTTTGTTTTGTTTTTTTTTTTTTTTTTTCCTTTCTCCATTTAAAAAAGGGAAAGTGATTTTCAAATGCTATCTAAAGTTGAAATTATTAATTGAATGTTAATCTACGTAACATGAGTTTTTCCGATATTTTTACTTACCTGGTGGAGACAATGAAGCCCAGATGCTCTCTTCAGAAAGATCAAGATTCAGCTTCCTAAAAGCACAATCAGATAATCAATATGAGGCTTCAGAGAAATAAAATGAAAAGGGTTAATGTAGGCCAGTTAACTGGAGAAAAATCATCATATACCACTCCATCAAAAGTAAGTATTCACATATAAAGGACATCTGGTTAGAATATATTTTATGAAACAATTGAAAGTTAAAATGAAAGCCTCACAAGGTATGTGAAAGGATGGAAGGCTAGCAGTCTGTGTTCCTACAGGAGAAAAACAGTTTGTAAGTTGTTCTCAACACATCTAGTTGAAAATGCTCTCTCTTTCTATCAGCTCCCTCCAGGAGTCACAATCCACCTGTGGCCAAGAATAGATACAGAGAATTACGCCTGGAGTTCTGGTACATGTGGATGAAAGTCAGGTATCCCTGTGATGTGAACTCAGAAAATGGGAATGGTTTCTCTATCGTTTATGTTCTAACCCAAATTCACCATTTTGCTAATACCTCAAATACTATTGAAAGAATTTTTTTTTTACTTTAGAACAAGAAAAGGAATTTAAAAATACGCCTGAAGAAAAAGATACATTTGTTCAGTATTTTATGCCTGACTGTTAGAAAGTTCAACCCCAGGAAATACAACCCCAGATGTTAACACGGTTTTGGAGACTGTATGGGTTTTCTCCCAACCTGTTAGATGTCTCCAGTTCCTATCTCACAATATGGACAGATGGACAAAGGAAGTGAAGAATAGGAAAATTGTGTTAAGAGAAAGCTAATGAGAGGCAGGAGGAGTCCCAAGAATGGGTTGCCACTGAGTTCTTTGGTGGATATTTATACAGAGAAATCACATCACAGGGTTTGATTGAGACAAACTACAATCAACCTATAAAGTTACAAGTACAGCCACTTAGCTTATATTGGTCCAATAGAAAAACAAGGCACATAGAGTAGAACAAAGGCATTTCTGGAAGATGTAGGAAGAAGAGTCAGAGTGTCTGGTCATCTGTGTGTTCATTACATTGCTTCTACATTTCTGTTATATTGTTCAGGCTTACTGAACCAGATGATGCTGGGTTGTTATCCCTGGGGGGGGGGGGGCTAGCAGACCTACCCATTATGTCTGTGTATTGGGGTCTAGTGTCTATCAACTCAGTCCTTGACCCCAGGACTGGTTTGCCTCATCTCTGTTTTAACTCTATTTTGGGCCTGGTCCCTTTCTAACTGCTTATCAGTCTCTACCTCACTTATCTATCTGCCATAGGGAGACAGGAAGAATGTAGGCCCATGGAATGAAAGAATAGGCTACAAAGAAGAAAATTCTTCAGGAAGGATATGTTGGGAGTTGGGTGTATGTTGTTTTAAACTAAGTTTGTGCACAATAGTAGAAAAGTAAGTCCCAGGTTACTCCATCATTTAAAGTTCAAGAAGGTATGAAGAGTAAAAAATGACCAGTAAAGGAAAGTCCAGTTAAATAGAGGAGAGAGCCAGAGAAAAGCCTTTCTCTAAGAAGCATATCACCAGCTTCCACTCAGAAAAACAGACAAAAGGCGAAGGGCAAGATAAATACACTGACCTTCCAGAAGCTGCTAGGTGATCAGCAAGCTCAGAAAACACGAGAAAACAGGTCAGCTACTACCACTCTAGGCTCAGAGTACTTTACTTCCTCCAAGAGAAGGTAGCAAGCGGCACTGATTTTCTATAGAAATTGTTAGAAGCCAGAAAGTTGTTCAGTTCTTTCTGAATAGATGCTCATTCACAAACAAGACTAGTTCTTACACTGGAAGATTTACAGCTAATTTCTAACACTGATGAATCTTCCCACAATTTTTTAGAGGGACAGGGTCCCTGTAATCTAACCTGCTGCTCACTGCTAAGTAAATGACATTCAGCCTTATTAGACTCCTTAGAAGATCCAATTAGTGCCAGATCTGTGCTACTTGACTGTTTATAAAGCTCTGAAGGTTGGTATTTGAAAACTGGCCAACAATTCCAAGCAAAGTTGGCTCGTTTTAATTACTAAGTAGCTAGGATAACTTATTTTTAAACTTTCATTGTTACAAAACATGTTTAGATTGGCTTTTAATTTTCCTAAAATAATCAATTGAACCAAATCAAATGAGCAGGTATTATGGCAAGGACACGAGCTAACTTAACGAACTTAACTCCGTGAAAGATGCTCCCTGCTGCTTTTGGTACCACCTAAAATTTATATGCAAACATATACTACTTACAAAGTACTGTCACTCACAGACTGCTCTGCCTTAATGTTATTAGGATTTAGCTTTTATCTAGATCTATCTAGAGCACTTCATTTTATCTAGATTTATCATGAGCACTTCATTCTCCTATAATATTTTGAAAGTTCTTTCTTCTCTATTCATCTATGAAGATTTATTACTTAGTCACAGAGAGGGCCAAATTTGATTTTCAAAATAAATTATTTAATGCTTCTGACATACAGGACACATCTCAAATGTATTCCCTTATCATCTTTGATATACTTTAAATATGTATATGTGCATATATATAATACACAATGTACATATACTCAATATGTATACAGATATACATATATATTCACATATATTCTGCAGTGCAACCCTTGTCACTTTGTCATTAACTTTTCTCCAGGTTTTGCTCCACTAAGAAGGCTAAAAGATTAAATCAGTCGCTCCTAAACTCTACTTTAGTCTTTATTAGTCTCAGTAATCTCCTTGACATTGTGAGGCACAGAAAAGTCTAAAACTTGATCAACACATGGAGTTTTCAACTTTTTACTGGTGTCTCGTATTTTCTTTTAGATGTGTCTCCCCATTTGAATGTATGCTTGTCCATACTAGAACTTCCTGTAAAGTTTTCACTGATGCAAGTTCCAGCATGAGTATTCAGTAAACATTAATTATCTGATTAGCAGCTTTCTAAAATGATTTTGTGAAATTATAAAAATGGAAATATACAGTTAGACAAGCAAAATCTATGTATGTATATAAATATATATAGGCTGAATAAGTGTCTACATAATTTTATTTCCTTTTATTCAGAAATTTACAATGACTATTTTAAGTATGTCCATATAATTATTACATTTATAAGTTAAATCTAGATTGGTGCACTCTAACAGCTAATATAGAAAGAGAAGTGCAGAAGTACAACCATATTTTCAACAAAAGGGAGTATTTCTATCAGTGAAGAAAATTGGTCCTAGATGATATATTCTAAGAATTTATTAGCAAGTTTGTTAGATTTAAGGAAAAACTAAGAGTTTATCTGTCAGTAGTCTTAGGAAGATAAATAAAATAACTTTAAATTGCTGAAATGAAGAAACTGAATACATGAAGATATAAATGTCCTTTCAGGATTAACAGTATGATTCTACTGACTGTTAGTCTTTGTGTTAATGGCTTATATACATAGGATACGTATACACACACACACACACACACACACACACACACACACACACACACATATATATGTGTATACACATACACACACACACACACACACATATATACATAACAGGATATCCTATATGTATCCATATATATCCTATGTGTATACATAGGAAAAACTTGTGAATGTCAAGTACATTCTAGATTTTACCTAATTACACTGTTTTACTGTTAATTCCTTATACTTTTACCATATAAGATATTTATAGAGGAAATAATGAAACAGAACTCAATAATTCTGCAATTTTTCTTCATGCCCGTTCAAAATAAAAAAACTTTAAAATACTATAAAGTTCACTGAATCCAATAACTTTCCTTTATGTCTGTTTTGCAATTAGATTTATCTGGGGTAGGGGAAACAATCATGTCTTAAACGTTTAATTCCTTTGGCTATCTTAAGGAGTAGTACAGTTTGATCAAATAGTAGTTCTATTTTCAGATTTTTAAGGAACCTCTATATTGACTTCCATGGTAGCTATACTACATCAAATTCCATACCATGGATATATGCACATCCATGTTTATTGTGATATAATGCACAACAGCCAAGATACAGAATCAGCCTAGATGAATAGATAAAGAAAATGTGATATATATTATCTAAAATTGATTTAATTCTTGTATGCACATTAAATTCTAGAAAATACATGTATATAAAATGAATGGTTTGCTTGTCCATGCCTCAATTAGAAACAGTCTTACCAATTAACATGATAGTAGTTATGTGTAACTTCTGGTCTTTAGCCTTACAGTATTCAGTCATAATATTGTTTCCACAGTAATTATGGCTAATTATTTTATTCCTTGCATTCTGTTTTAGCTTCCCCTCACTTCAGTTAAGTTTTGATTTATTTAATTATATAAAAGATATTCCTATAATTTTAAGTCAGACAAAATATAGGCTCACTGAAATGATTAATCCTATATTTTCATTCATTTGATTCTGTGTTACCTAAAAATTATAAATTTCATTTTTTTCCATTCCCATTCCAGCATATAGCTTTCTGACACGAAGTAAATATAGGTTTGCTTGTAAGTAACAAAAGAAAAGAATCAAATGTTTTAATTTTAGGTAATTCAAGAGAATGTCAATCCTGATTCCTTAATTATTTTCAATGATATAAATCTTAAAGTAGCAATAGACACTGAGTAGAATATACAACTATTATTTTCAAATTGGACTAATTTTTCAGTAACTTACAATTAGTCATTTTAAATACCAAAATGTATGTGTCAAAATTCAACACTTTATGATTTTTCCACTTACTCTGGATAACTGCTGCCTAATACACTATTTTTAAAAAAAGGATTATAGATCCCACATCTCAGGAAAGCTCACTAACAGTACAGAACTATAAATACAAAGAGCAGATTTCAAATTATGAATAGTTTAATTCTACAAGATAGTATTGCAACCAGGGATATAAGCAGCACAGCCTGTCTGACAAGTACACGATCCTGAGTTCAATTCCCGGTACTCTTTGACAAAATAGACAGTATTTAGGATTACAATTATTAGCCATATGTTGCTATTCAAATTCAAATTTAAATTTGTTAAAACAACCACACTGAACTGTGCAAAAAT